CGGTACGGGCGCGACACCAAGGGTTGCGATCCCGTTACCGGTCAGTAAAAAAAACAAAAAGGAAAAAAAAAAAAAAGAAGTGGAAGCAATCCAGTTGTTCATCAACAGATGAATAAACAAAATGTGGTGTATACATATGGTGGAATACTATTCAGCCTTAAAAAGAAAGGAAATTCTGACACATGCTACAACATGGATATTCATTAAAAGACATTATGCCAAGTTATATACAACCCAGATATAAAAGAACAAATATTGTGTGATTCTGCTTATATGAATGTATTAGTCTGTTTCTATTGCTCATAACAGATATACTTGAAATTGGGTAATTTGTAAAGAATATTTATTGCTTCCAGTGTCAGAGGCTCAGAAGTTCAAAGTTCAGGGAACACGTCTGGTGAGAGTCTTGTTGGTGGGTGTCACATGGCAGATGGCAGAAGTAGAGAGCTAACTCCTCACTCCTCCTCCTTTTAAAGGCCTCAGAACCATGCCCATGACCACAATTAAACCATCAATAGATTAACATATTTACTTGGGCATGGTCCTCACAATCTAATCGCCTCTTCAAGGCCCTACCTTTCAATTACCATAATAGGGGACCACAATTCAATCTACAGCAATGAGTTACTTAGAGTAGTCCATCCATAGAGACAGAAAATGGAATGGTGGTTGCCAGAGACTGAGGGAGAAGGGGGAAATGGGAATTTTTTAATAGGTACAGTGTTTCAGTTTTGCAAGATGTACAGTTTCTGGAGATTTGCTGCACAACAATGTGAATATACATAATGCTACTGAATTGTACACTAAGAACTGAGTGAGATGGTAAATTTTATGTGTTTTTTATCGTAATAAGAAAAAGTTAGCAATAAAACTTTAAAAGGTTCTCATTTAAAAAAGAGTGTAAGATAAATGAGGGTTTTGGACAGGGCAAGAGTCTGGGATACAGTTTATGGAAGTGACTGAAAGAGAAAAGAAACTAGATATGATGGTCACATCATACCCAATATTTAAATCTGGTAGAATAAAATAATAGTAAAATTTAGTAAGTATATTATTTTTATTGAGAATCCACTGTGTTTTGTGCACTATGCCAGAAAATTAGATGATCAAGGACTCTCATTCTTGGCAAAAAAAAAAAAAAAGTATACTAAATTAGCATAAAGCTGAAAGTTCTAAAAAGAGACCAATTAAGTTCTATGGGAGATGGATGAAACACATTCCAGGGAACAGCTTGCTTGTTCAGTCTTGCAGTATACCTTTCTTGGGATATCCATATATTTCTAGGTTCAAGAAAAAAAAAAAATTGCAGTTTTATGGAAAGTTTGAGAGTTGTGGCATAGGCATTCTTTCATTGCTTGGCCATGTCAGGATAGCTGTTGCTTCAGTAGTTTTCCAAAGGATCTAGAAGACTGAGGGTTTGCCACTGTTTCTAGCAAGATAGAGAAAATGGGGAGTTTGATGAGGATTGAGATCTGAGAGCTAATGAAGACCTCTGCAAAGCTCCCTCCTTCAAGCATTGGCTAGCCACCAGTGTTGCCCTGTAACACTGTTTTGTCCTGTAGTTACTATACTAGATGGGTCTCTAGACTGCCTGTGTAAGTGGAACCAGGTTGCCTTTATTCACATCTAATTTTCCTCAGAGATTAGCAAAGTGATATTGGCCAATGACTTAACCATTCCGTGCTTCCTTTTCTTTATTTGTAAAAGAGGAACATGAATCATAGCTACCTCCTGAGGTTCTTATGAGGATTAAATGAGTCTATGTGTGCATCACATAGGCCATTGCCTGGCACATGCTAAGACTACATAGATGAGTGCTTGCATGTAGAAATGGCTATGTGAGGTTCGTGTTCATTCTCAACATCATGAGCACCATTGTTACATGACGGAGATTTCCCTGTGTTAAGTGCCAACCAGCTCCTTGATTCCTTCCCTGTTCTGTTCATTGTGTGTATTTCATCTTCTCTTTCTTCTTCTAGAAGGGGAATTTGGGCTTGAAACCCCACAACAGAAAATTTCTGAGAAAGCTTCGTTTCAAAATGATATGGTGAGTGAAGTCACAAGAGATGGCTCATGGTGTTCCATTTTAGAAGAACTTGGGCAGTATGCTGACCATGCAGAAAGAGATCAGCAAAATCAAAGTAAATTTTCACATCATGGTGCTTTCCTCAACGAGAAAACATTGAACACAGAGTGCACTTGTGATTATAAGGACCCTGGAAAAATCAGTAATGTGAGGCCCCACCTTGTTTCATTACAAAAAAGAACTCATAAATGTTGCTCATTTACAAAAAGTGTGAAGCCTAAACTAGAAATTGGTCAAAATCAAAGCAATGGCACAAAACAGCTTGATGACATCATTGGATCTGGTCAGGTGTTCACCCATAGCTCTTCTAATGCTTGCAGTAAGAATATTCATACAGGAGAGAAATTATGCAAAGGTAATCAATGTAGAAAAGTCTGTGACCATAAACAATCACTTATACAACATCAAATTCATACTCAGGAGAAACTGCAAGAATGTACTGAATGTGGGGGGAACTTTACCCTGAAACCACACATCCTTACCCAACAGAGAATTCATAGCTTAGAAAACCCCCATGAATGCAGCAAATGTAAAAAAGCCTTCACCCCACAACCAAAACTCAGTGTATATCTGACAGATCATACAGATAACATACCCTATATATGTAAGGAGTGTGGGAAGGTCTTTATTCAGAGGTCAGAGTTGATTACTCACCAGAAAACTCACACTAGAAAGAAGCCCTATAAATGCCATGAATGTGGGAAAGCCTTTTTCCAGATGTTATCTCTCTTCAGGCATCAGCGAACTCACAGTAAAGAAAAACTCTATGAATGCGGTGAATGTGGCAAGGGCTTCTCCCAGAACTCGACCCTCATAATACATCAGAAAATCCATACTGGTGAGAGACAGTATGCATGCAGTGAATGTGGGAAGGCCTTCACCCAGAAGTCAACGCTCAGCTTGCACCAGAGAATCCATTCAGGGCAGAAGTCCTATGTATGCATTGACTGTGGGCAGGCCTTCATCCAGAAGGCACACTTGATTGTACATCAAAGAAGTCACACTGGGGAAAAACCTTATCAGTGCCGCAACTGTGGGAAATCCTTCATTTCCAAGTCACAACTTGATATACATCATCGAATTCACACAGGGGAAAAACCTTATCGATGTAGTGACTGTGGAAAAGCCTTCACCCAAAAGTCACACCTCAATATACACCAGAAAATTCATACTGGAGAAAGACACCATGTATGCAGTGAATGTGGGAAAGCCTTCAACCAGAAGTCAATCCTCAGCATGCATCAGAGAATTCACACAGGAGAGAA